GTTCAATAAAAAATGAAAAAAGATGAATGATCTAAAAATAGTATAAATTATGAAAAAGCATTACGTTCGAAATCTATATTAAGACCTTTGGGTTCCAATGTATCTAAGTTAAAAATCCAGATCTATTTTATCTAGTTCCTTTTCAAGATCTCCTCCTCTTCAGCGGGTCTCTACTTTTTCAATGGCCAAAAATTCAAGGCCAGTGGGATCATTGGAGTGTTTAATACTAAAATGGTGTGAGAGGTTATGATTTTGAAATCCTCTTTTGATATTTCTTATATGTTCACTGAGCCGGATCTTAAATTTCCTTTTTGTTCTACCTATATATTGTTTCCCACATGGACACCGTAATAAATAGACAACTCCTATGGATTCACAATTGAGTGACGTCTTAATCTTAAAAATCTCTTTTGTTTCTTTGTGTTTGAATTCCTTTATTGTGTTTTTCTGTATTCTATTTATTTTGCATCCCATACATTTCCCACATTGGGTAGACCCACAGGTTGGGCCTTTATTTATTTTCTTTCTATTTGGAACCGTTGGAGCTAGTAGAGACTTGAGGCTTGGATCTTTAGAATAGATCATCCTTGGTTGTTTTCCCAAGATCTTATCTAATGTTGGGTCACCTTTTAGAATCTTCCAATTATTTGAGAAAATCTTCTTGATCTTGATTGCTGTAAATCGTTATAAATGATATATCTGAGGGGGCATTGATGGGGTCCTTTATTTTCGTCTCAAGGGTCACTTCCCTAGGTAGATCAAGAGCTTGTTTTGATGCTTTGTCTAGCAAATCTTTAGAATAACCCTTAACCTGGAATCTCTTCGTCATTTCCTCCATCTGGATCGCTGCTACTTCTGGTTCCGAGCAGTTTCTCCTAATTCTTCTGTAAGGTATATTGTCTAGCCAGGTTTTCTTATGGTAGCTATTTGCCACAATAAAACTATTACAATCGACTATCGATAAAAATGACATCATCAATGTATCTTTGCCAGAGGACCAGATTTGCGCTGAACTGGGATGGAGACCAAATAAATTTGTCTTCCCATTTCCCCATAAAAAGATTGGCATAGCTGGGCACAAATCTGGTCCCCATGGCTGTCCCCTCAGTCTGAAGATAAAATTTTTCATTTGCCCAAAAAAAGTTATGGCTTAAAATAAATCCAACGCATCTGACCAAAAAGTCTATCTGGTCATTACGAAGCTCTGTTTATGTGGCTAGTGAATATTGGACTGCTTCACACCCTTGTAGATGTTCAATCACTGTATACAGCGATGTTACGTCTGCTGCAACTAGGGTGTAGATTTGCTGCCATTTTATTCGTGAGAGAATCTTTATTATTTGTGTGGTATCTCTCAAATAGGACTTCAACTTTGTAACCGGTTCCCGTAAGAATTGGTCAACATATTCTGACAAATTAGATGTTAGAGAACCAATACCTGAAATTATAGGTCTTCCGGGAGGTTTCGTGAGTGTTTTGTGAATTTTGGGGAGATGCCAGTCTTGGATACTCACAACTGACATGTTGTAACTCCCTACTATTAAAAATTCCTCTGGATTTCCCATCTTCTAAAAGGGTGAGCAGTTTTTGTTGGTAATCATCACAAGGATTACTTGGCAGAATGGTGTAAGTATCAGTATCACTCAAAAGCCTCTAACTTTCTAATGTATAGTCGCGCAGATTCATAATCACTAGACCTCCTCCTTTGTCTGCTGGTCTAATGATAATTTCTTTGTCTCCCATTAATTCTTTCAATGCCGATCTTTCTTTCTCTGTCAGATTGTCTTTGACAGTGGGTTTCTCTTTGATGGATCTCAAATCTTTTACCATTTGTTTTTCGAATATGTTGATACAATCATTTTTTTAATTGTTGTGGCTAAAAGGTGGACTTGGGATGGAGTCCAGTATGTAGATAGGGGGTAGATTGATCTTTCATCTGATAGGTGTTCTCTTCGAAGAATTTTTTGATCGTGAGCTTTCTTAAATTTATGCAGATCTATGAATGTATTGAACTTGGAGTTGTTGGAGTTGGGAGCAAATTTGAACTGCCGGAATGTGCTATATAGTAGGCTATTACAATACTGTCTAGTCCCCTTGGTCCCCCAGGATGAAGTCAGTCTCTGGGCAGGTCGGCAGGACGTATTTCATGGTATCTTGTTGTGGTGTTCCGTGTCAGGTCTCCTGATCAGAGTGCCAGGGGTGCGGTGCGTTTCGTCAGATCATCCGATGCCTCGTTGGGGCTGTGCAGCGGCCCGCCATGGGCTCCCGTGCGGCATGGGCTTTTCAATGCGGTGGATCTCTGGGCGTGATGGGAGTTGTTGAGGAGGGTCTTTGAGCCGGGGTATGGCTGCTCACAGGGTGAAGGGTGCTCTTGGTGTACCAGCTCTTGGTTTCAGCAACATTTTCAGTTTCGCCGTTCTGTGCCGGTAAGATGGCAGTTTTGTTCTCCGTCGCCTTCCCGCCTTTCTGGGCTGCTGGAGGGCTGCTGGTCTTTGCTGTGGGTTGGGCGGTGGGTGGCAGGGTGTGCAGCTTGAGGCAGGCATCGTTGGTGTCCTCTGTCGAGGCTTGAGCTCCTTTCTGAGCCAGAAGTCCGTGAGGATTTTCTCCAGGCTGATCAAGGAGCCCCGCTGTGTTGCATGGCAGCCGTCAGGCCGCGTGGTCTCCGCCATCTTTGGTGGGTCTCTCGGCTCTCCGAACGCTTTCCCTTTCGTTGCTGCCCTATCTGGGAGGACTCCCAGGGGTGGACCGTGATCTCCCCCACCGGTCCCAAAAGGGGTGTTGCGGGGAACCCACTTGTAGCAGTCAGTCCCCGGGCTGCTCCAGGCTGGGAGCTCTGCCACCGCTCCCATCCAGTGCGCTCCAGGCCTCGTGCCCTTGCTGGTTTTGCCTGCCTTCTGTTGTCCACCCACGGTCCGCATTTCCGGTTTACCATGGGGGCTGATAGCCAATAAGTCGTGAGGGGTCATTATCTGCCATTTATAGTGGTTTGAGGGTGCCTTTAGATTCGTTTTCACAGAAATTTGTAGGGAGCTTCAGTCAGGCACGTCTTCCCTCCATGGCAGTCAGGCTCCGCCCCCCCGTTCAATGTTTTATTAATCTGAATTTTATGTGATAGATAAGAACACAATATTCTAAGTTGTTGAAGTGAAATTAGAAAAATATATACATAAAACAGAAAATTGGCATGTGCGTATGTATTCACCCCCTTTGTTATGAAGCCCATAAAAAGCACTGGTGCAACTAATTACCTTCAGAAGTCACATAATATGTGAAATGATGTCCACCTGTGTGCAAAGTGTTACATGATCTGTCATTACATATACACACCTTTTTTGAAAGGCCCCAGAGGCTGCAACACCTAAGCAAGAGGGACCACTAACCAAACATTGCCATGAAGACCAAGGAACTCTCCAAACAAGTAAGGGACAATGTTGTTGAGAAGTACAAGTCAGGGTTAGGTTATAAAAAAAAAAATCACAGCTCTTTCTTGATGTAGCTGATCAAAACAAAGCATGGGACAACTGTCGAAAAGGTAAAAAAGTTAGACTCCCTTGACCAATCAGCGTAAGATAGAATGTCCACAAGGGACCCCCGGACATAATGACGGAAGAGCCTATGACTGAGTGCGTTTCAAAAGATGAGTCTATGCCTGCCAAAGCGAGAAGCCACTTAACCCAGCAAGCAATCGTGGGACAAGACACTGGTTTGTGCGGTTGTACATAGTAGAAGAACAGGGCCCGAAGGAGTACGAAGAAGTGTCGAAGAGGTGTCGTAGAATAAATGTATTGGTGAACACAACGAGTAACGCAGCGCGAAGGTCTGTCTGGAAGGTAAGGATAACTAATCATAATGTAATTAGTTTTAGTGCAGCGAGAAATGTTGAAACGTTTACCTTGAGGAGTGAAATCAATAGCATGGATATCAAATGCTTGAATATCAGATACCCTTCTGAAAGAAACTAAGCAGAGAATAAGCAGTAACTTGGCTGACAGTTGTTGAAGAGAAAGTGTTTTGTTAGGAGACCACACTTCTAAGAATGAAAAACGTGAGGAACATCCCAAAATGTTGTATATTTAGGTGCAGGAGGCCGAGCTAGATGAATGCCTCGTAATAGGCTACCGATAGATGGATGTTTGTCCACTGCAGTATTATCAATAGGAACATGAGCAGTCAAAATTGCTGAATAAAATACATTAATAGATCTATAGGATTTACCTTGATTGAAAAAGGATGACAGGAAGTTCATAACGTTAATCAAAATAACTGAAAAGGGATCAATACTCTGTTCCAAACACCAGCAATTCCAGACTCGCCATGCTGAGAGGTAAGAACGTCTCATCCCGGGAGCCCAAGAATCCCATAGGAGTCCTCGAGCAGTATCTGAAAGTCCTGAAACATTCCAGGATCCCCTGAATCGGTTCAGGCCACCAGTCGGAGATGGCCACTCTAAGCGAGAGGATAAAAATTGCCTGTTGGGTCTCTGATGAGATAGCAAGAGGCTGGTAGCAATATGGGGCAATCCACTGACATCTCCAAGAGATTGGGGAACCATGGTTGGGCCAGACATAATGGGGTTACTAAAAATTATCTTGACATCCAGAGTTTTAGGATGATGTAGTGTGCATGCAATCATGGAGGGAAGGCATAAGCTCCAGTCATAGGCCATGATTGAAGGAAGCCATCGACTGCCAGAGAGGTCGGATCCAGTAACCAGCTGTAGAAAGCGTCCGTTTGGCGATTCAGACAGGTCGCAAATAGGTATAGGATGAATGGACCCCAAAGTAGATGGAGAAGATAAACAACATGTGGGTCTAGTTGCCAGTTGCTGGAGTCTCTCCAGTGCCGAGAGAAACCAATCTGCCACAAGGTTTTTGGAACCGGGCAAATATTTTGCTCAAAGGGCAAATATTTTGTCTAGACAAAACTGATATAGTTCTTTTTTGGGGTCCGAATACAACTTGGAACAGGATCCTCCTAGGCAATTTACTTACTGAACAGCTGAAATATTGTCATTCTGAGGGAATAGTTGTAAGCGTCCTTTGCAAAACTGTGGATCGCAAAAGAACCGGCAATCAATTTGAGACAATTGATGTGGAGCACCTGTTCCATCGGGGACCAAAGACCTCCGGTAGAGGGACCTGTACAGGTTGCACCCCAGCCCAGGAAGCTGGTGTCTGACTCTAGAATTAAATCACGTTGTGAACCGAAGATGGCAGTCCCTTTCCATGCATCCTTGTGGTGTAGGCAACAGTTCAGTTTGAGTCGGACTTTGTCCATCAGTGAGAGTGATTGATCGTAAGATGTGGAGCGATGTAAGGAACGAGTCTTCAGGCGTTGCATAGCCCGATAGTGCAGAGGAGCTGGGAGTATTGCTTGTATTGAAGCGGAAAGCAGACCTATTATGCGAGCTAAATCGCATAGGCGAATAATCAGTAAGGGTAGAAGTTTTTGAGTAATTGGACCATCTGAGACGGAAGGAGGGACGATTTCTGGAAAATTTTTACGAACCCAAAATTCTGTAAAAGGGCTGTTGTCATGGTCATATGGAGGCGCAGAGTGCCTGGATCCTGTGCCATAAGGAGACTATCGTCCAGATATATGATGGAGCGAATTCCTTGAGGGTGGAGTAAGGCCATAACAGGCTTCATCAACTTGGTGAAGCACCAAGCTACGGAACAGAGTCCGAAGGGGAGACATGTGAACTGCCAGAGTACTTGATGTCACTTTAACTGTAGGAAACAGCGATGTGCGGTGTTATAGGTACCGTGAGATACGCATCCTTCAAGTCGAAACGTGAGAACCAGTCTTCCTCGCAGAGTAGGTCTTGTAAAAGATGGGTACCTTCCATCTTGAAATGTCTGTATACAATAAAGCTGCTTAGATTGATAACTTGTCAAAAGTCTCCCGACAGTTTTCGAACCAGAAACATATTGCTTATGAATCTCTGAGGAGGTATTGATTGTTCTACAGTGCCTTCGGCGACAAGGTCGTGGAGTGCGGCCTGTAAGGTCGCCTCGTCCTCCTGTGACCTGTGCAAAGGTGGACGGGAATACATCTGCAGAGGATTGTCTGCAAAGTCTATATGGAAACCTGATATGATCTAAAGGATCGATGGATCTTGAGTGAGCTGAGACCACTGTTGGGAAAAAAAGGTTAATCAGCCTGCAATAAAAACTTGAGAATAAGGAAATTGGATTACCTGTAGCAGATTGAAAGCAGAGGGAAGCAGAGCCACGTCCTCTGATGGATTCTCTAAAGGGGAAGAATTGTCGGTGGTAGAAATGGGTATTACCCAAAATCAATGCATCTGAGGGTCAAGGCATGAAGCCTTTGAAGGCAGCTCTGCCAGTCAAACGGGCCCTGTAGCGAGCAGCTCTCCCAGAAAAACGCTGGGTTCTAAATACCTTGCAAAGTGACAACTGTGCTTTATTGAGGGATGTAAACACGGATACGTGTTTATTCAGGTCACAAATGAACCTGTCCCCAAGCAACAGTCCGTTAGCCTCAGGACCAAGTTCTTTGGTGCCTTGTTCTGCCAGTTTGGCAGCGATTTTATATAACACAGCTTTACGTTGTTCAATTAAAATGGCCACGTTGGCGTTGCCTAACAGGCATAGCGCTCTGAGCCCATTCATACACCATGTGTGCATCAAAATTGGCACCCGTTAAAGTCAGAAATGATAAATATTTGGATAAGCGTGCTCGTAATATCTAATACCTTGTCTTGTGTGGCTTGTAAGCCTGTTTCAGTACCCTTACGGGGATCTTTACTTGTCTTAATTAGAAATGTGGCAATGAGTGGGTCAAGTTCGTGGGTAACAGCCACCTTATCAGGAATTGTAGGCCGTGGGCTTTCTGCCCTCAATTTAGCTCTGACCTCTTTATCTAACAGTTTACGAGGCAATAACCTGCAGTACTTGTCAATGTGGTCAGAAGGTGTCCATTCGGCCGAGCGAGGGTGTCTGATACACTGCGGATCAAAAAGAGGACAGCCTGTGGTATCCAGTATGGTATTGTCCTTGGAATTCTCTACGTTTGTGTTAGACAAGGGATCAGTGTCCTGTAAGGAATGGTTCTGGGGTAAGAGAAAAGTTTCTTTAACATAATTAGATGGAAAAGGATCTTGTGACAGCAAGGCGGGAGTTTTTTTATCTGAGTACCTCGCACAATATTCGTCTACCACCTGTAGGTGATAGCTTGACGCTGAACCCCTTAAGGGGTCAAGCTCACGTAGAGTGGACTTGGCATGAGATAATTTAGCCATTTTTGCCAGGGATTTGCCTTAACCAGAAGAAGCACTGTCACCCTTCCAAGGGTGCTTACGTGGGCCCTCATCATAATGAGAGATGCTGGAGTCATCATAATCTGATAATTGAGTTATGGTGGCAGTAGGGGCCAACAAAGCTGCTAAGGCCTTGGGGATAGAATCTGCAGTTGCAGTTTGCAGTTTGAAGTCATGCTTTAAGTTCTGGTTGTTCAGACATGCTGAATAGACAATATTAGTGGGGTCACCACACTTAATAGAATAGAACGTTATAAAAAATATTATTTTTTTTGAGACTTGTTACGTACTACAAAAAACACAGAGGCAGTGGACTTGTGTTGGGGTTCACCCAGAGGAAAAATATATTGGTACCTAAAGGTAGATTTGAATTAGTTGAGTCAGCCACATAAATTAATCAATCAATGTTGTTATGTGGGGTTCAACCACAGTGTAATGGCAGGTAATGGCAGGTATCAATGACAGATGTAAACCTGTATTCTCAGTATAAACCAGGGGTTACCCAGGAAAATATAATAATAAGGCAAGAGTGGGTCACCCTCAAATGTGAGGCACCAGGGAGTCACCCTCAGAGAGAGAGAGAGCTGTAAAAAACTGGGGGAGCCTGCAAGAAAAGCAAAATAGGCTACAGTAAGC